CCCGGTTCACGCCTGAGCTAGCGCAGCCATATGTGGTTTGTCACTCCAAGCCCTGGGGCTGTTACCGGTTACCATCAGTGAACAGCAGATCTCTGTGACTATGGAGTCCGCTTTGACTGCTGTTCATCACACACTGACGTGAAATACAATAGAGTTATTGACCAGAATGAACACACGTGAAACAAGAATCAATTATAAGAATGAATTTCCAGGTCAATATGCACTAGGCATGTTTCAATTTTAAGCAGTAACTTTCGAATTAATACAAATTTTATCGTGATACTCGCGATCAGAGTCGATTGAAATAGTGATACAAGACAGAATACGGAAAATCACAGTGGGAGATCACGTTCGGAATAAATCCTATTTGCTCACTGCGATCGATATGTAAGCCTGATATTGGAAACTGAAGTGTATTTCCGAATTGAGCATCATGCGGCACGGGTTCGATCAACTACAAAACTGTGGCAATGCTTCCAAATTCGGTTGTGAAGTGAAAACTCCGTGTATCAGAAAAGCTTCAATCCCACCAAATTTGAAAACCGATAGGTGATTAGTGCACAATTGTACTGTCATCGTTCGGTTAAGCATATGGTCCACCAATGTAGAATGAACTATAGTATTAAATGTCTCTAGCCACAGATCAATATGGTGATGACGTCACCAAACCGGGAGGCTTATCACAATCTATATGACCGAGACCCCTGGTTAAGATGTTCATATCTCATGCCATGCCAGTTTAACTAACCTTGATATTCTTCCAGATATTCCCTGTCTAGGCAAACATTACATCAAGGAAGTCTATTTAGTGACATGCCTGGCATACCTCAATCGTTGGTTTCTCCACTGAGTTCACTTAGAGGTCGTTTTATGCATGCCGGCAAACAGTGATGAACAGTGGTTACAATCTTTTTCGACGGATCTAGGTTAGCGCGCACAGAACGCAACCCAAAACAAGCATCAGTCTAGTTTGATACGACATCAATCCAATTACTGGCATTATGCAATTTCCCAACTTGTGCTCCACGACTTGCGTAACCAGTACATATAAGGGGAAGTTAGATTTCCGTGACTGAACAGCTCATTCTCTCTAGATTTTATAACGCGAAAGTGCGCATTGAAAAAAAGAACATTAGCATAGCGCAACCGAGTTCTGGGAAATGGGGAGTGTTGATAAAATCGGACACCTACCGAATTCCTCCACAGTACGATGTCGATGTCGATAGATCCACATGCGGCGATTCACATTGAAGTAGACGGAGGGGTCGGCGGCTTCGCCTTGGAGACGATCCAGAGCGGAGCTGACACATTGTTGAAGCTAAATTGAAAAGGTAGAAACAGTGGTGGCATACATGTGTTTTGGCGCTACGAGTTCTGGTTGCTTACGATGTGAAACAGAGTCTTTACTCACTTCGGTAGTTTGAAATGGAAAACATTGTAAAAAAAGATAACACACAAGTAACCTCAGCCTTCTGAGAAATCAGGGGAGAGTTGATCGTTCTATGCAGTATCACAATGGATTCATTGATAACTTTCCTATTCACGCGGGTGAACTCACGATTCCAAATGAAGTAGATGGAGAAGCAAACGGTAGATAAGATACTACTCACTTTGCGCTGATCAAATGAAGGCAAAAGATAACCACTGTTTTGGACCAGAGTGGTGATATCGGCACGTGTGCCCTCACCGTTTGGCAAACAGGCAACTGCATCTCGTACTATCTCGGCCAAACTGACAAAATTCGGACGATCCGGACGCAAGAGTGGGTGCTCTCGAGCACGTGATTGCATCGGATAAGAACGTGCGACTAGTGGAGCGCGTTGATTGGATGCACTTGGGGCGGAACGCAAGGGACCAACCACAGATGCGTAATCCTGAATGCGATAAACGAATGATGCCCATGGTCTAGAGAATCGTTCGGCTTCCTGTTTGAAGGTGAACATGAGGGGGACCGTGAATCACGTCGTAACTAACCGAACAGTCAGACCATGCAACACTGCTGCAGTCAGAAAATTCAAGTTGTAATGCCAGATTAAAGTCAATCACACTGATATTATATAGATATTCAATAAAGACCCCTACGTCGAGTTTGTTGCGGTTAGTAGCATCTAACTTACAAATCATCGAACCATAGTATTCATTCTTCAACGAATGGGTTCTGAGGGAGCTGTCCAAACGAATTTACACGGTGTTGCAAAAGAGGTTATTGTGATGAAAATACACTTCTTGGGTGCAAGTACATGACTGAACTGTCAAAAGATTGCCGGAAACGTATGTCTGACGAGCGGCAAGAACCGCGAAACCGGTGATGTGCCTCCAGGGAAATTTTGTTCAGTCATCCATATACTACTTATTGTAATATATATAGAGAGAGGGACTGTTGGGAATAGTTGTGTCGGAAAGTAAAGTCATGATAAACAGGGGGAAAGCTCGGGGACTATGGCGACAAAACCTAGCCAGGCTTCCCGATAACTCCAAGGAGTTGATTTCATTACTATTCACTCCACGCACATGCTTCAAACACTACGGGATCGAACGGCAATAAGCTCAAGCCCAAAACAGCAGAACGTTAAAAAAACAGAGACCAAACAACAAAATGCGCATTAAACTGGGTTCGAGTAAACACAAGATTGGTTGATTGCAGTACCGCCGACTCCAAACAACAGCTATCCAGTGTTTTCAATGCCTTATGGTAGTTACAATTACATGCTAATGATGCATGCTGCAAAATTCTCAAATTATTCCAATGCAGCCATTATAGCCTGTCAGTCGACTTCTCTCGAATCAGAGCGTCTGAAGGAATCGTATTCAAAGATGAGATTCCTTAATTCGTGAACGAATGAAAATTTTGACTTTTAAAGCAAAAACATGTACTTATCTTTTTGCTTTAGGGGAACTCAAAAGAGAATGAAGCCTCCTTATAGGTTTTTATTACTTTGTAATGGACAGCAAGCGGGATGGACTCCATAGTCACGAAAGTATGATGATCAGAGCTATAAATGGCATCCCACGCCCCGAGACTTGGAGTGCTGAATCACATAAGGCCCCGCCGCTAGGCCAAGCGTTGCACTGAACCAGACGATAGCAAAGCTGCCCTCCACCAAACTCAATTGACGTTGGCGGGGCTCGAACCACCAAACATAGGGTCCAAAGCACGCCGGTGGCAGAGATTAAACAACTACGCTGCCACCACCATTACGAGCAACAGTTATCACCACATCCAGCGTTAAATAAACAGAAAACAATGAGATTCAACCTGTGATCAATTGCGGAATTTTCCTGCATTCCCCAAAGGCCTCAGAATCATTCATATATGACGGGACACGGAACACTAATCTCCGGTGTGCAAACTCTTCAGCATAGGACAAAAAGAGCATCCAACAGTCTGAGTAAACTCGAGGAACAAACAAAAATTTCTAAATCGCGGGTGAACTGATAAGTACTCATGCCGGGCTCAAAAAACAGTTGCTATTCTTTCTCAAGTATGAAACGATTTTATCTTCTTGTCAAAGTACTATTTTTAAATTGATCCTTTAAGGTGGAGTGAACGAGTATTTTTCATACGATCTGAGCAGTCACCTTTGAGTTACTCGGTAATTTGTGCCGATTTGAATCTCCCACAAAGTTAGATTAGGACTAATCAAACTGTCCTTTGTATTGGTAAATAAAAAACTGACTCCGAAAACAGCGTGGGCGCGCGCACGTGCACACAGACTATTCACAACAGGGCCCAAACCATTCTGGGGGAGGGGCGGGGCGGGGCTGAAAGAAAACTAGGGAAAATATAGTACGAATTGGCGGTTCAACTAAGGTAGATAAAATTTTGGATCCAGTAAAAAAAGCAATGTACAAACTTGCAGTACATGGGTGTGATACTAATATCTTCCTGTAGATGATTTTTTGCATTCAGATTGATCTTCCGATTGGATTATATTTCGAGAATTCGCTGACCACGACAACAGTGAACGGAAGGTTGTTCGGAACATAAAAATTACAAGTCGAGTTCGCCGGAATTGTCATAAATCAGTCGCAACATAACGCAATCACTTTTGCCGTTTAACTGCATCACATAGTCAAACAGTTCAGTCTTTGAGCTGTAAATGTGTACATGAACGGTTTCTCGGGATGGTTAGACAGATGAACACTAATCACTTAATATATAAATATACAGAACTAAACATAAACACACACACACTGACCTGCATTTGGAACTGTCGTCTTTGTTCTTCTGTGAAAGGCCGTAATCGCCAAGTTGTCGGACTGGAAATGGATGAGCATAAAAAGTGAACGTTGCCAATAGATGAATGATTGCACAACCAACACCGGAAGCACGCACTTAGAACATTTACGAATAACAGAACAGAAAGCAATTGTATCATGTATTACAGGGTGGAAACAGAGAACCCACGTTGATATAGTTACTTTTAGGTTAAATCAAAGGCAACTTTCTCCTGCATGAGGACAAGTAAGCTTAGTGAAGGAATCTATGAAGAACATCGGAAATAAAGTAAATTGCATGGAATTCGTGTCCTTGTACACCTAAGTGCTATCCGTGGGTCAACAAGGTGACAGTAATGGCTCTAGATTAGCTAAGGTGATGGTGGTGGTGTTGGTGATGGTGGTTAAGTGGTAAAGTCGTCGAAATAGCCATCTGGGGGGTACTGAGTTCGAAACTCGCCACCGCCGCCCATCGTCCTCATATCTGTATTTCCTCAGACAAACTTTGAATGGCCACGAATCCCTTTCTGAAAACTAACTGTACACTTCTGTAATAATCAATAAACAAAGAAGAAAGTGAAAACTTTAAAGAAAACGTCATGATGTTATCAGTGGATATTCGAGGGGAGTTTGCCTTCAAAGTGAAAAGCTGTCACATCGTTCTTTCAATATTGTCACTACTGATCATCTGCGACCACTCAATTCGTGAAGCGATGACAACCAAAGTGACTGTTCTCCGGTATGCCAATTGGAGACGTGCCCGTGGGTGGGTTACAATTCCTCAGGGTGTGAACTTTTAGTAGTCTACACCCACCGAGAACACGGTTATTGATCAATGCAATCAAGACACTTGATCGATTTGGGGCTGTGGTTTGCCAGCTTATATTTTATTGCCAAAGTTGTTGGCTTTCGCCAATAGCAAGTATATAATTATTTTTTTTATATTTCATATACGTCTCAGCCCAGATCGTGTGCCAAACAAATCACGGTACAACTATCATTCAAGCAAAGGAAAAGGTTTATGATTTGCTAGTGGGTGGAATACTACCCAGATCAAAGCAGATTTATTTTGCAGAGAGGGGGGGAGAATTCGCAACCGGAGCCTACGGCTAACCAAAATCTGACTCGCAAGGAGGCGGGGCAGTATGTGAAACCCACAATCCTGTTCATTCGATAATATGTTCTTTGGACGGAGTCAAACCTTTAAGGTGCCCAAATACACCGCAACGCCCCATCCAGCTGGTGACTACAGCCACAATCAGGTGTGTATGTGGTTCGTACGCCTGTTCTTGTTCCGTTTGGAACCAGTATTTTTAACCAACTGTCCTAGATGAATTGCCAGTGGTTTACCTACCCGGTTACAGCCCCTTATGTTGACTTATTGTCCTCTCACCTTGGTGGAAAAACATCGTCATGATTAAGACTTCTTCAGCAAAGACGCTTGGTCGCATGGGAGCATTTCGCTGACCAAGGGATGGATGACCAGTCACAACCTAAGACAACCCGCCCGGTCATGTTGAGGCTCTCGTAGGCTTTGGGAGCTAGGTTTTCGGGACTTGATAAGTGGCACACTGATTTATCTGTTATAATGAATCTTATACTGTGATTTGTTTGACACAGTCTGGACTTAGGCAGGTGTGAAATATTCTTTGATAAAATGTAACAATTATAATTACAATGGTATCGTGGTTTACACAGCAATACAGCAAACAAACACGGGCAGATCAGGTTCAAGTACTACCTTACGAAGAAATGCCCGGTCGAGAAAACAGAAACCTCATAGACTGGTAAGCGGTCAGCTCGAAGGCATCAGATCCTTGAAGATAACCTAACCATCAGAATGAACCGCTACACAATGAGTAAAGCGTGGAACTGAAAACGGGATTTCAAACGTAAAGAAACAAACCGCTTACTGCGAGGAACGTTTCAATATAACGCATTCATAGGACTGGTTTATCCTCTCGTAGGCGATAACTCCTACAAAATAGGCGCACGTTACCAAAGATTGTGAAGCACCAACCCCTCATTGATTATGATCATAGCAGTAGGGGGACGACACTGATCGGACACAAAGATAATATGCGCACATGAGTATAAACGACTTACTATAGAGGAGGCGGAATGGAGTCATCCAAGATATGTGTTGTTTGCGGTCGATCCAACCGCGATTTCACAGGCTTTCGTTTGGCCTTTTTCTGCCCACCGGAATAATCCCCTTCCGAACCGGAGTCATCAGCTACAATACGCAATCGCTTTTGTTCATCCTCCGAGTCCAACCGTCGGTCTTCCATTTCCGCTGAATCACTCCCATCATCACTCTCGTCATCCACTCCGGATTGTTTGGCAGATTTACCCGCGCTTAGTTTGTCCATTTTACGACGCCCTGGACGCCCCACTGAGGCCGTGGTTACCAACCACAACGAATCAGCTAGTCCGCCCAAACCTCGTGGAGCTCGGACCCATTCAGCAAACAGTTCGGCCAATTCATTTGTCTCACAACGGAACCGTTCCACCAACTGACTGTCCGTACAATTGGAACCCGGTGGAGCAAGTAGCCAGCACCACTGATGAATTCGAGGCCGTGAATCGACAAACGGGCGTGGACAGACTAGACGGCGAGAGGAGTGTCGGATTAGGCCAATTGTGGGATTCGAACCAGATGTTGCAGCTGGGACTGATTCGCCCGTGAGAAACTGGAGCGCATGTGGCGTAACCGAGGACCAGTCGTCCGCCTATTGAAATAAATATAGCGGTTTCATAGTTATTTATCGGACTACAAAAACATAAGACCAATTCGCAGAAAGTTAGGGTACCAGCTCAGTGCAACTAGTTTGCCCAGCTGCTGACAATAACTAAGCGAAGAATTGAATAAATCTCTACTAGGAGACCAAAGCTCAGTTTCGATTTCGGATTCCTGTGGAAAAAAATTTGAGAGCAGATAATTGACACCTTGTACATTATCAAAGCAAACAGTAATTACCGTAGCGGAGCGAAAACAGACGCGTTTCGCAGTAAGATTGTGAGGAACAATCTGTGACCAACACATCAACTGTATCGTTTTAACTGAGGCAGAGAAATCACTCTAACACAATGCGATTTGACTACCGGCAGGAGCTTCGGTGTCGTCCGACTCAATACCATGCCTATCTTAATAGGACTTCTAGAGGGCTGCCAATACAAGACCCAGGACTCAGTTTGCTGGTCATCATGGGTAAGCAGTCGGCATTGGTGTCTGTGAGATTTTTATTGATTTGAACTGACCATCCTTCGGACTTCATCTTCACACACAATCCTCAGTCCATCAATACAACTATACACTCGGAAGCACTAGACTCTAGTTTCGCTCTTATTAGAGCTCATCAGTAGTGCATATCAACCGTCCCGTCCGGGAATTGAACTCCGGACCCATCGCATGGAAGGCGTGTACGTTACCACTGTGCCAACCAACTCATACCATGGTTGAGCCAAATTACCAATTCATGTTTCTTCAAATGTCGTCTTCAGTGATTCAGAGATTCAGAGATTTTCCGCTCCTGCTATTCATCACTCAGCGTCTCTAACCCTCGGGTATGATCATTCCACCATCACGACGAGACTGTACCTTGACGCGGTGTGATGGCTTGCGTGCCTCCATGACCCTGCGAGCTACACAGGATGGCTTTTCACAGCCGTAGATCCAATCATGTCTGAAAGGTCAACGGGTAGAGGCCAGACGAAGCTCAGTCCCACAAGCCAGTTGCTTGGGCACCTCCTGGCTTCTTTCTTCTATCCACACCCGCCCCTGGAAAGGTCACTCCAGTAAAAAAACACGGTGAGGGGCAGTTTACCGGTCAAAAA